GTGCATAAGTGTTTTAGATGTTGTTTGTGAGTTTTGGTAGTGGCTGGGGAGCAGTGGTTTGGATGTGGGTGTTGCAGGTTTTCTTGTTTATAGTTTTGCTGTGTCAATGTTTATGTTTTTGTTTTTGTTGGCCTATTGTGTGAGCGTGTGTCTGTGGGGGCAATGATTTGATAATGAGGTTTTTCATGTTGTTTATTTCTATGTACATTGGAAGGTTGTGTGGTTATATTTTAGACATTTGGTACATTGTTTAACAGGTTTTATGTAAAGTTTGACCTCGTGTATGATGACCTTCGAAAAAGAATGTTTGGGGGGAGTTTGGAAAATTTTCCAATTTTTTTTTAAGTTGATTATTACCGTAGCGATGGGATGGATCTTTCCGTTTCCAGTTGTTATTCTGCGTGTGTTGATTATTTTGGGTTGCATGTTACTCATGTTTGCTTCTTTTGTGTATAGTGTGAGGTGTCTCTAGGGCTAACTCTTATGATACCTCGAGTGAATTGTTGCCAGAAAGGGATTTCAGATGTTTAGTTTACTTCAAAAATTTGCTCTAGTTTTTCAGCTGCTCTGAATGTGTCTTTGATTAGGGAAAATGATTTGGAATCCTTTATTTTGGAGTTGTATGTTACAATTATTTTATTTGTGGACTAAGCTGCTGATAGAATTTTTAGCTGGTACAGTTGTAAAGAAGAAGAAGGCATAAGTAGTTATGAAGTTTATGGGGAATAGGGGGTGGTATTGAAATTGTGTTTCTTAGTTGTTGTTTCTTGTGGGGTTGGTAATGTAGGTTTGGGTTGGGCGTGAGTGGCCTTTAGGAAGTTTAATCCATAGCCTGCATAACATTTTGCTTCTGTATGTATTTAACAAAAATTATAACAATAAAGGGAATACTATTAGTATTATACACAATGGGGTGTGCCCTATGGTTAATGAATGACTAGACAATCCTGTTGAACTGGCACAAATCTTGTTGACATATTTGCTTGAAAAGAGATTATGATATCACAATAGACAATTGCATTTTCCTCCTCCAAGAATAAATCTACCCATGTCATTTTTGTTCAAAGATCATCTCAGAAAACGCAGACAGATATTGAAATTTAATGATCAGTAGCTTGACCAGTTTACGACGTGTTCAATCTGACCAGGCTTAGTTATGATGCAGGTTTTCTGAGTATTTGGCGCAATTTTGGTTACAAAATATGCCAAAGAAATATCAAGTGCATTTATCCTGATGCAACATTTCAATAACATTTATGTTTTTTTTGGTCTGCGGTAGTCTGTTGACAGTCCAATTACTTCGCTCCTTAAATTTCCAATATTATTCCATGCCAAGAAATATATACCGTATTTGGAAGTACTATTACGTTTTACTACATTTTTTTAATGAAATGAGTCTCATTGTCATTGTTGACCTTTCTGATCTTGACATCAATCTCATTGGTGGACTAGTACTGTTGTCTGCAAATTAGATTGCCAATCTGGGAGGCTAGGAAACTATTAGCCAATCAATTCGTGTAAAATAATCACATGCTACATTATTGCAAAATTTGATACAGTCCTATGTGTTGATATTTCTGTGCACACGAGTCACAATGTCAATCAAAAGGATATTTATAAGTTTCACTTTAAACTTTGGCTTTGAAACCCTAGCTATATGGAAGCCTGATTGTGTAACTCATTGTTATTTCGACTACCGAATCAACAAATCATGCATAGTGTTGTTTCTGAAGACAGGTCATATTTTTCATTTCCGAGAGTCAAATGATGTAACTATGAGGTACATGTATATTGATGTTTTAACAAAGGTTCTGAAAAATCTGATAACCAATAAAGTCATGTATAAATGGACCGGCCATATGTATTTACATTCTTAAATTATGGAGGAATAGACACGCTAAGAAATGAAGACAACAGTTCATTTCAGTAAGTGATGAATACTCGGCTGATTATTCATTTAAAGTACAACCCTTCAGGCAAGTGTAATGACTATCCAAGTTTTCTTTACATTTTTACACCTGCGGGTGGCTGTGATAAGGGTCACTAATCTGTGAGCCTACCAGACAGATCGGGATGTAAACTTCCCGTTCTTTGTTTTTACTCGCAAGACAATGGAGGCAAATTCTTAAAATATATGTTTTGCGGGAGGATTAGTCCATCATGTGGGATCCTGGAAGATTTCATCAAATTGCAGGAGTCTACCACTAAATGTGGGAGGGGTGACAGGTCTGAATGTGTATGATAGACTACAGAAAAGCTAATGATTCTGTACCTCATGAATGGAGTTTGAGGTCACTGGAATGTATTGACCTCCCCAAGTGACTACTTGTTTTACTCAAGTCTTTAAGGAACTTCTGGTCAACTCAACTTAGACGTATTCACAGTGGCAGGTGGTGACTTCAGAGCCTATTTCTATTAGAAGAGGAATTTTCAGGGCGATTCTCTTAGTCCTTTGCTTTTCTGTTTGTCACTAAATCATTTAAGCTTTTTGCTTAGCAAAGAGGAAGGTTAACCTCCCGGGATCTCCTCAGAACAGATCCCCAATGCACCTTCCTCACCTCCTTTACATGGATGACATTGTACTTATTGCCAATGGAGGATCCACTTTCAAAAAACAGATTCTCCTTGTCAAGACCTTTTCTAATGAACTTTGAACTCGACAAATGCCACACTCTTCATCTGAAATGTGGCAAGGTAGAAGAGGGAGGATCAGTCAGTTTACTTGGGGTAGGAGTTGTTGACCAAACGAAAAACTTCGGGCAGAGTACAATTGTGGACTAAACAAAATCAGGAGTTCAGAGCTGAATGCTAGCAATAAGGTTAACGCCATAAATACTTATGCTGTACCTGTCCTTTCATATTCTTTTGGTGTTGTTGATTGGACGGAACAAGAAATTCTGGGTATTGACACCCTCACACAAAGAATCATGTCAGACAATAGATCACACCTTCTCGCTCATCCCTCAATCGCTTCTGTTTCCCAGTCATAATGGGAGGGCGTGGTTTGATTAACATGGAGGCTCTTCATGATAGAATTGTATTGTGCACTTTTGCACACATTTATTTGTCTGATGATCCTCTCGTGAAGCATGTCAAGACTCATGATGAAAACAAGGCATTCCAAAGTTTTCTTAAACAAGCCAAGTATGTGGAACATATCTCAATGTAAGTGTTGATTTTGTTGATGGTTCTGTACTGCTGGACGGTACAGAAATGAGTGTCATCCGAGCGAAGTGCCATATCAAATCGGCCCAGACTAATTTTTTTCAAGGAGAGGCTATCTGAACGACCACAGCATCAAGTTTATGTGCAGTGTGTTGAGAAGATCTGCAACCCTGCATGGATGAAGTCATCTGGCCTGAAAAGTTAAACAGAAGGCTTTCTGTATGCTGCTCAGGACCAGTCACTTCCCACAAGAAACCGTCAATGTGTGATTTTGCAACAAAATGTAAATATGAAATATAGATTATGCAACACTTTTCAGTGGATGCCCAGCTTTGGCACTAACACAGTTATCTTAACCAACATGATGGAGTGGCTTGATCTTTTTATTACCGTCTTCGCCATGCTTGTGGTTTTGATACAGAGGTAAATCCATGGTACAACCCTGAATATGTAGAGGGCGTCATGGAAAATGATAAATACAAACTTCTTTGGAATAGGCCTGTATACAGCCTCAGACGTTTTCAGGCCAACAAACCTGATCTTGTTCTTTTTTATAAATCCAATGAAATCATATACAGTCATGCCCTGCTTATACGGACTTCAGATATCCGGAAACCTCGGTTCCCGGACGATTTTCATTCAAAACGAAATAATTACTGTATAAATTTACCCGTATGTCCGGAAATTCAGTTTCCGGAACCGGACGGTCATTTTCATACACAAAACACTGAAATGCACACAAAATTGTCTCACTTATCCGGACAATACAATTCCGCTGGTGGTAATCCTTTGATTCGTGAGAAGTCAATTAACCAAGGGACACTGAGTTACATTTGAGACGAGCTTGTTTATTGTACATGTAATCCCCTTCGATAAATATGGCATCTGTGGAGGTCAGAGGTCAAAGTTGTGTAAGTATGGCCTGTCAACCAGGGAAACGTAAGCGACACGCAGTTACAGCATGCGAAAAAAGGGAAATTTGTCTGTTTAAAGAAAAACGCCCGTCAGCAAGTTTAGAAACCATCAGTAAGCATTATAGCACTGAATTTGGACATACCATAGGAAAATCGACAATTGTCGACAGTTCAAACTTCCATGACAGACTTTTTGAAACGTGTATGAATAAAGATTGAGTGGATGTATCTGTTTGCTCTGTCATCTGTCATGAGTTGCATAATTGAAGGGAAGTAACTCTTCCAGTAAGAAGCTGGTTTCAGTTATACGGAAATTCGTTTATACAGACGAATTGTGAAATGACGCAAGTGTCCATATAAACGAGGCACGACTGTATATTGTTGAATTTTCTGTCCCTTTTGGCACTAATGTGATTGACAAGATTCAGGAAAAACATTGCAAATAAGCAAACCTTGCTTTCGAAATGTCACGCTTGCATCCCGAGTACCAAGTTGTCTGACTCCCCATTGTTCTCAGTGCCTTAGGTTTGGTACCTCCCAATCTGTTGACTGACATTGGGAGAGTACCCGGGTTTGCTACAAGGAATACAGCCCTTCTGACAATCTGGGTAATGCAGAAGGGCTGCAGTGTTGGGGAGTCTTCACTTTCCCTGAAAAGTTCTGGGTGGGTTTGACTAGGCAGCGCTTCCTGGGAAAAGTCCCATTTGCTGTCTGGGCTGCGTGTAGAGGGGGCAAGGGCCCTGAGCTGATGATGAGCCTAACCAGCCTGACTCTGCCAGGATCACCCTGTAGGCGCAAATAGCTGCAATATTGCTGATGAAGCACAGAGCCATATACTAATATTTTGTCTCTGTGCAGCTTAAAACAATATTTACTCTTCATTTACTCACCCTAACTGTGATACTAATGTTGTTTTTCCAGATGTGTGTGATTGGGACACCTGCAAGAAGTTGTACAGAGAATTACTGTTAGTGTTTGAGAGAATTGTGCTTCCAACCTGCGCCTCCAGTCACTGCCAGTTCTTTATGTTTTACATATGCAGTTTTAAACCGGTATGTATAGCTTTATATTACACACTGCTTATTTTTTTTAGGCTGCTGAGTATTACAAACAGGTCCATGTGTTTATATGATCTGATTGTAAGATGAATCACTCATGTTTTATGCTAGAAATAATCAAGCATATGATTTGCTGAAATTGAGGGTTAATGAATTTTAACTGGAAGTGCATATGACTTTCTTTTTAAGGTAGCTGGTGACACAAGCATGTCAATTAGGTTTTAAAATGTACTGCATTGGGCATATGTTTTCACAGACCAGATGTCACTTGACAGCAAGTGATGTCTTTTAGGCAAAATTGCTTATGACTCTTGTTTTAAAGAAGGGAGAGAAATGGGACATTCAGGTTTTAGATCATGTGTTTCCTCAACTCAGTGAACATGATATCTGGAGAATGGTCTGAAGCTCAAGGTCACCACCAGAAACCTTATTGTTCAAACATGGCATATCTATCCCTTTCCCAATTGATGCAGATTGCAGGGTATATACAAAAACAGTCTCATAATCTGTTCAATATTTCTCAATATGAACTTTGCATGTATATATACACAACAAGCATGCATCTAAACTGGTGCCTTAATTTTGTTATTAAGGAATGTTTTATTTTTCACTTTTATGCCTCCCCATTTCGAACCATAACATGAAAAATGTTCAACATATTTCTATGAAACTGCACATATGCTATACTATCTGTGAATTTAAATCAAGAAAAAGTTCAAGATATTCTTCTTTCTGTAGATACAACTAAGGCAACAGGGCCAGATGGTATAGGTAACAAGTTACTTAAATTAACAGCGACTCGTCTAGCTCCGATCCTGACAAAATTATTTAACTTGTCGCTCAAAAACAAAACCTTCCCGTTAGTTTGGAAACAAGCATCAGTAACACCAATTCACCAAAAAGGCGATGTACATGAATGCTCAAACTATAGACCTGTAGCGCTTACATGTTGCTTAGCCAAAAATTTTGAAAAGTGTATACTCAAATATGTGTTTGACTTTTTCAGAGAAAACGAATTGTTGACAAATTTACAGTCGGGATTCGTGCCTGGCGATTCCACATCTTATCAACTCACTTACCTATATAATTTTATTGCTAGGGCATTAGACAAAGGTAAAGAAATCAGAGCTGTTTTTTGTGATGTCAGCAAAGCCTTTGATAGAGTATGGCACAAAGGAATTATTCATAAACTCAATGCTTATGGTATCCAAGGTGATCTTTTGAAATGGTTTGAAAGCTACTTAGAACATAGAGTCCAAAAAGTAGTCATTAATGGTTATACCTCAGAATCAAAATTTGTACAAGCTGGGGTCCCCCAAGGGTCAGTCCTTGGACCACTGCTTTTTATTGTTTATATAAATGACATTGTCGAAGGTATTGAGAGTAATTTACGCCTGTTCGCAGACGATACATCTATATATATGTCATCATTGATGATCAAATCTCTGCAGCAAATTGTATCAACAATGATTTGGCAAAAATCTCAAACTGGGCCCAAAAATGGCAAGTAGGTTTCAATCCCGATAAGACCAAAACTATAACATTCAGTTGCAAAGTCAATTATGGTTTTAGACCAAACTTATACATGGAGAGTACTGTTATTGAAGAAGTACAAAGTCATAAACATTTAGGAATTACACTTCAATCTGATTGTTCATGGAAAATACACATTAACGAAAATTATTAGAAAAATTAGTCCAATGATCAACTGCCTAAGGAGCTTTAAATACAGACTAACAAGAAATACGCTTGAAACTATGTACACATCTTTTATCCTACCAAACTTCGACTACTGCTGTCATATTTGGGACAACTGTACAAACGAACAATCATTGTTACTCGAGAATTTACATTTGGACGCATTGAGAACTATTTGTGGGGCGGTTCGGGGTACCAGTCATGTTAAAATTTATAACGAAACAAACTTTCAGTCCTTAAAAGAACAACGACACCGCTTCAAATTGATAACATTTTACAAAATGAAAAACAGTATTTCTCCTGTATATCTCAACGATCTCATTACAAGTCCAGTCTCTGATAATAGCAATTATAACCTTAGAAATAGATCTAACATACAAACAATCAAATGTAGAACCCAGACCTATGCTAAATCATTTCTTCCGGATACGATTAATCTGTGGAACGCTCTACCCAATGAAGTTACTAATTCTTGCGCTTTAAAAGAATTCGAATCCTTAATTAATCGTTCTGATACAATTATTAATAATTTTGACCTAAAATACGGTCATAGATCATGCCAAATTGTCCACTGTGGCCTTAGGCTCGGCTGCAGTGACCTAAACGCTGATAAGTTTAGACGACATGTATCAGACATATCAGACTGCACTTGTTGGTATCACTTTGAAGACGCAATTCACTTTTTCTATACCTGTCAAAAATACCATAATATCAGAAACACTATGTACTTCTACACACATGGGTATGATTTAAAAACGGTATTACATGGCAATAGTTCAGTTAGCAGTTCTACAAACATGACTATTCTTAAATCAGTTCACGATTTCATTGTCAAAAGCAAAAGATTTGAGTAGCTTAATTTTTTGCATGTAGTAACGGAAAACTGCTACATCTTATTTCACAGACACCACTTGTATTGGCTTCATATATTTCATTTGTGCATTTAGTATGTTTATGTTTAGCACTATTTTACATATAATCTGATATATAACCAGCTGTTGTAAAGTTATTACCTGGAGAGGTATTTAGATAAGCAAGTTTTGCTTGTTTACCGATCCAGATTTCTTTTGGAATAAAAATATGTTTAAACCATTTAAAACTATCGTTACTTGCGAAGGCATGGTTAATTGAAAACTGCGGGGTTTGGGCATCAGTGCAACATGCTCGGGTCATGTTCAAAAACATTATGTTTGTGATGTGGCCTATTAAAAACTATTGAAAATATGATCAACCACGACAATATATATTAAGTTTGCATATATCGAGTCAAAACCTGGATTTAAAGAGAATTCCTCATTAAAATATCTTTCCATTGTAGTCTATAGGAGGAATTATTCACATTTATAGATCATTTAGCAGACGTGTTTACCACGATCAGCTGTTAATTTCAATTTCATTGACATGCCAGAGATGACAATCTGCCGCTGTCAGATTTCTAGGTCTTCAACAATGTGTGTTCAGATCGGAATTGAGTATTTTCAAAGTGATAAGACATGAAGTAACGACTGTTGTAAATACAGTCTACTGGCAAAAATAGATATTATTTACATTAAAAACTGATACTTTATAAACACGGTGCTATCGTCAATTTTGCTGTACATTTCTGTCTGTAGTGTGTAGCGTATCGAAAAATATATTGTTGAACTTTCATTTAATTAATAGTGACAGTTCATCATATGTTCATTAAAATATGAATATTGTTCCAGGTTCACTTTTTGTTTTATTAGCAACAATTAAGTCATTTGTGTCCCGCAGAAGATGGTGTGTTTGCCATGTTCCACAGCCAGAAAATGTTGAAGAGTTACCAGGAAGTTAATAATACTGTCATAGCGACTGATTTACGACACCAATTGTCTGAAGAACATTTAATTGCAAAGGCTCATTACCCTGGAGCCATGACGGCTTGCCCTCATTTCGCCTACACCTCATTTCGCCTACAATAATTCAAATGCTTAATTGCCTCACCCCTATTATATGAATGGGCATTGTCCATCTCAGGCTGTTAACTAATCCAAGCGCTAATCTAATCCAAGCGGCATAGAGGTTCAAAGTGAAGTTTTTACAACCTATGACAACTCTTGTTTGACTTGGTCATTCTGTTAATCCTTAGTTGTTTTGAATGTGCAAGTAAATCTTGTTTAGTAAATAAATCTTATTTAATAATTAAGGTGTAAAGAAGCCTATCATCGCTTCTCACATTGTTTGTAATTGTTACAAATTGGTTAGTTCTTAGTATTGGTTTAATTAAAGGAAATTAGATGTCTGCTCAATTGTTGAACTGTTATTGTTGTTATTATTGCATTGGTATATATGTACCTGACCTATCAGCTTCCTAGTCCCGGGCCCACCACATGGTGGGTTGGGCATTTTCATTAAAGAAGACCTCAACTATGACATAATTGACATCCCTACCCCAAACCTTGAATGCCTGGCCATCAAAACTACTATCAATAAAACTAATATTACCATCATAAATGTTTACCACTCCAGAAAGAAACCCTTCTCAGATGAGGATCTAGATATACTAACAAAATCTATTGACCAAAACGCACTCTTTCTTGGTGATTTCAACGCCCACCACCCACTGTGGGGCACAAAAAACTATACTGATAAATATGGCACTCTCATAAATAACTGGATAGACACCAACGACCCTATTTGTCTTAACAACAACCAACCAACCAGAATCCCTCTCAACCCTCTCCAATCTCCCACTTCTATTGACCTATCTATCAGCACACCACACCTCCAATCTAAACTCAGTTGGGAGGTCCATATACAGATACCTGGGGCAGTGATCACCTGCCCATTAAAATCTCCACAACCATAACCACCCCCAGCACAAACTCTACACCATCCCCACCCCCCCCTCAGACCACCACTCCAAGCAACCTAGATTCAACTTTAAAAAAGCAGACTGGAACAAATTTAAAACTCTGTGCAACCAAACAGACATCCACGACATACACAATCAAGACAACGACATATTTAACACCAACTTCACTCACACCTTACGCAAAATAGCAATCCAATGTATTCCCACCATCAAAACATCACCAAACCACACACCTGTACCCTGGTGGAGCCCTGACATTCAAAATTCAAGAAAATTAAGGAAAAAAGCACTAAACAAGGCTAAGCGGGACAAGACAAAAATCCCCTTAGCCAAAGCTCTTAGAAACTCTACAAAGCAACTAATAAGAGCTAGCGGCCAAAAGAAACCATTGGACACAATTTACAAGTACCTTGAAAATGGGGAAACAAAACACCAAAATATTTTAGGGGGAAAAAACTCA